ATATATATATATATATATATATATATATATATATATATATATATATATATATATATATATATATATATATATATATATATATATATATATATATATATATATATATATATATATATATATATATATATATATATATATATATATATATATATATATATATATATATATATATATAAAGAGAGACTTCAGGGGTACTTTGAAGCAGTGGTTCTCAAACTGTGGTACTTGTACCACTAGTGGTATGCAGGCTTCCTTCTAGTGGTAAGTGGAGGAATTGCTGAATAATTAAAGTAAAAAAAATGAACACACTTTTAACGCATACGATACCACAGATGTGATCAGTAAATAGATTTCAATAGGCTAAACCTTTTATTTTCCATTTTTTATGTTTGTTATGTATTCTATCAATTGAAGCTAATTTCCTTCCCATATTTGTAATGGTTGTTGGGGCGTATGCCATATTTTTATATGCCAATGTTGACAGCTATAGTTTAATCACTTTTCTGACACACAAAGCCTACTCTAATGCGCAGTAAGCAGATCTAATTTCTGATTTAAATATGTAAATACAAATCATATATTTAAAATACAAGTTAATGTTTGGATTTCAAAGACACACAAGTAAGTCGTATATAACATGTACCATGTATTTCAAAATGTATCAAAAAGAGTTTAAATATGAATATGATGATATTTATGAGGTCCATGGAACATTTCCTGGCTTTTCTGAATAGGCTACTATATGTACTTTATATTTAAGCACAGCAGTTTTCTGTTTACTTTTAGAACAGTGCCATTTTTTGATTAACTTTCAAAAGCACACATTGATGTTTTATTTAATTTTAATGTTTTAGTTAATGTTCAGTCTATTAATAATGTTAAAAGTGGCTGACAATAATAAATATTCATAACAATAGGAATTACTCTGCCACGTTCTTGAACTGTACATAGCTGTAGCTGCTTAATTAGGCCTAATATGCTACTCTGTGTTTCAATACTGGTCATCATGGTGGTACTTGGAGAGACAATTTTTTTTCTGAGGTGGTACTTGGTGAAAAACGTTTAAGAACTACTGCTTTGAAGAATTTTGTTTGTCAGCTTTCAGTAAGTATATAAATAGCATTGCATTGATCTTACCTGATGGGATCTGAATCTTTGATCTGGTTCTTTTGAATATATTCCTCAGGTAGAGCACTCCAGCCAAAAACAAGTGGCCACTTAAAAATGCCTCTTTGGAAGTTATCCACAAGCATGTAACTGTGTAGACAAAGCAAACAAACAAACAGTCAATTAAACAAATAATTAAATATATGTACACAGTTTTAACAGTTTAACAGTGGTGGACTACTGGAGTCTCCTGATATCATGGACATTAGGGTTGGGCCGATAGACTATGCCAGGGGTGGCCAACCCTGTTCCTGGATATCTGTATTTGTATCAGTGTTGTGCTGGATTCTGGAAAATAGTAACTAGTTACTAGGGCTGTGGGGAAAATATCTAATTACAATTTAAATTATTTTTTTGACAGATATTGCGATTTTTGATTTGATTTGTGATTTAATTTTGTATTCACGCTTCAGCTAAATATTCTGTATCGTAGCTTCTTGGAGTGTTAGTTTAAAAAAGTAACTGAAAAGATCAAACTCCAACTATTATTCAAATTTGTTTATACATTTTCAGAGATTAAACACTCATTTTTTTTTCTCTAGAGCAAACAGTAGTGAGTTATATATTCAATCATGGCCGACAGACACCACAATACCGAGCCGTCATCGCGATTAATTGCCCTGCCCCCGTTACAAATCCGCTCGCGAAAAATACACACTCAGGCCCTGTTTACACTAATATGTCTTAAGTTTTTAAATGGCATTTCAGAACAAAAATGATCCACATCCACTCTGTGTGGATGCGCATAAAAAAAACAGTTAATGGAAATGCGCAAAAAAAAAAAATTTTTAAAAATTAAAAACTTATGCGCCTTACTGGGTAGGATAAACTTTTTATTCGATAAGAAAAGATGCGCATAAACTGTGATGGAAACACTTTTACCGCACAAACTCCAGCATGCGCATTAAAAAAGGTCATGTGATTTTGTTAAAAGAGATCATGTGATGCTTAAAATGTGTTTGAATGGATAAAACGTCAGGCTGAGCACATTATAAAACATCTGAAATGTTGTTTTGGTCATTATAAAACACGTTAACGTTTCAGTATTCATGTTATTATATTATTAATGACCTCCAGAATCAAGAGCGCCTATGCTCCTCGTCAGACACCTTCAAACGCCTCTGCGCGCTCACTGCTTGTCAGAATTGTCTTCTGAGGCGCATTCATTTAGAAAAGATTGATGCTTCTACTGCAGCAAATGCAGTTTTTAACTGTTGATATTTGGCGCCAGTTAATCAGGAAGTGACGATTTTGTTCGCTTTGACTCGTTGGATGGAAACGATGCTTCATTCGCACAACTTTTATGCGATAATCCAGTTTTGCGCATAAAGTTTATTCGCATTTTTGGATGGAAACATAGCTACTGTCAAGCTCTCGAGACAGCGGGTCAAGGCAATCAGCGGGTCAATAGACTGGTTCAATCTTTCGCTTGTACGCTTGTACTTTAGCGAAAACCTCAGATACTGTTGGTTGGTTCCTGTTGGTTGTGCACCGTTTTTACAAACCAAGTTTGTTGACGCCATTATAACGACACAGATCACTCTGCCTATTCACGAGTCCCACGGAAAAACTGATTGACAGGTGGTAATTATGTGTGTAACTTCTTTATTCATTTAATGATTTGGTTAGGGGTAAAACAAAGACCATGCGGGTCAGGTAGTTAAAACAGAAGGCTACAATTAATTAATTTGTTATGAATTAATTAATTATTCATAATTAATTCACCACCGCCAATGACGACGATGCCATCATCACTCATGTTGTTTCATATAAGACATCGTACGATGCTAAATTGGTCGACATCGCCCAACCCTAATGGACATACAGTATACTATGGCATTGGTATTTATTTCAAAGCGCTTTGTACAAAAAAAGAACTTAACATTTCTTCAACTGCATAACTGGGTTTTTATTTGATTACCTCATGTCTTTATCATTGATAACATCAATAACAGGACAGGGCACTTTTCTGCGGTCCAGGTAAATTCTTTCTAACAGTGGCTCAAGCCATCCTACGTTACACTCAATGTGAGAGTCCAGGAAAGTCAGCACTTCACCTGCAGATGAAACAAACAGTATATCCAAACAGTAAAACAACATGCATTGTGTGTTGAATAAATGCTATTTGACCTAACATGGTTCTGTATGATGATTCTGCTTCTGTATGGATTGAAGTTTGTCAGTCAACTGAAATAAATTCAATGCAAGTGTACAGTACCCGTAGCGGCAGCGGCCCCTGCCATCCTTGCTCTGATAAGGCCTTGTCGCTCTTTCAGATGGATGATTCGTACTTTAGGGAATTGAGACATATAAACATCCAACTGTTCCTTCAGGTAGTCTAGGGAAGGAAAGAACTAATCAGATTTACAATTCATTACACAATTATATTGTATGTACAGTTATTATCTTTATAGCAACTGAACTGTTGAAAAATGCTTAATTATATATTAATATAATGATTTTTTCTGTTTATATATCTTGCATAGGATGTGCTTTTTATATTAACTATATACAATATATATATATATATATATTAATTTAAACTATTTAATTAAAATTCATCTGTTCATTAATTTCATATGGTATGGTTGTATGGCTTCATTTATTCAATCTTCTGTTTATAATAGGCATGGGATGATAACCGTTTTCAAGGTATATCGAAAAGTCAAGGTCTTAAAACCGTCAAAATGGTCTGCTATACCGTTACTAAGGTTTATGTACAATTTTTTTATTTACTTATTTAATTTTTTTAAGGACAACAGTATCTCCAGCAGAAAAGATAACCAAAGATGCTGTTTTAAATTGTAAAAAAAGAAGTCAGAAGTCAATGATTATTTATAATTTGAATTATTTAGCCTGAAATGTTTACTCTTCCAAAATATTTGAAATATTTCTTAAAATAAATATATTGTGTTTAAAAGGGAATTTTATTTATTTTTTTACCCAGACATTTAAAGAGAATAAATTTTAGAGCAGCACAATACCGTGAAATCGTGATATTTTTATCCAAGGTTATCATACCTTCAGAATCTCATACTGGCCCATGCCTAGTTTATAATATATGAGTTTTTTTTTCTTATATGTTTAATGCACTTTAATGTTCATCATCTGGAAAAGAAAATGTTTTCAACAAAATTCCATCATCATTGTTATTTTGTGTTGCTGTGCAAAATCAAGCAAATTAGCATTCAGTAAGCTAATCACTTTTCTGCCCCATCATAGTGTCATTTGCAGGGTTATACATTCAAAAACATTAGAGTATTTGCAAATTGGATTAATTTTTCAAACATAATATAGCAGGCTTGAGGCATCAATTCTCTGTTAGGGATAGTTATTTTCCTTTGTTTCCTTTATGTAAATTACTTGTTTCTTGAGGTCAACACAATAATACATTTAGGATGTTTAAATATGTCTATATTTTTCACAGCAAAACAATGAAATTGGAAAAAAAATAGTCATTTTTAGTTTTTTTTTGCAAAATCTGGAATTACTAGGTTTTAAAACTTTTTTTTCAGTTATGAAATCACTCTTACATTTATATTTCAGGACCTCAGATGTAGTCATACATAAAGTATAGTTTGAATTAGTTTTTATCAGTTGTCAAATGAGTTCTTTACAGAATAATTAACCTTATGATGTTTGGATAGTTGTAGTTTTGGGCCATGTTTGCTCCTACTTAGTTTGCATTACCCACAATGAATGTTACAGTAATACTTTGTCTTTGCATTGTCTTTTAACTATATTATATACAGTGCAACCGGAAAGTATTCATAGCACTTCACCTTTTTCACATTTTTATGTTACAGCCTTATTCCCAAATGGATAAAATTCATTCATTTCCTCAAAATTCCTCAAAAAACACACAATACCCCATAATGACAATGTGAAAAATATTTGTTGCAAATTTCTTAAAAATAAAAAAACCTAAAAAATCACATGTACATCACTATTCACAGCCTTTGCTCAATACTTTGTTGATACACCTTTGACAGCAATTACAGCCTTAAGTCTTTTTGAATATGATGCCACAAGCTTGGCACTCCTGTCTTTGGAGTTTTTTGCCCATTCCTCTTTGCAGTACCTCTCAAGCTCTATCAGGTTGAATGGGAAGCAACGATGTACAGCCATTTTCAGATCTCTCCAGAGATGTTTAATAGGATTTAGGTCTGGGCTCTGGCTGGGCCACTCAAGGACATTCATCAAGTTGTTGTGAAGACACTCCATTGATATTTTGGTGGTGTGCTTTGGGTCATTGCCCTGCTGGACAATGAACCATCGCGCCAGTCTGAGGTCAAGAGCACTCTGAAGCAGGTTTTCATTCAGGATGTCTCTGTACATTGCTGCATTCATCTTTCCCTCTATCCTGCATAGTCTTCCAGTTCCTGCTGCTGAAAAACATCCCCACAGCACAATGCTGCCACCACCATGCTTCACAGTAGGGATAGTTTTAGCCTGGTGATGAGCGATGCCTGGTTTTCTCCAAACATAACACCTGGCATTCACTCCAAGAGTTCAATTTTTGTCTCATCAAACCAGAGAATTTTGTTTCTTATGGTCAAAGAGTCCTTCATATGCCTTTTGGCAAATTCCAAGTGGGGAGTGGCTTCCGTCTTGCCACTCTACCATACAGGCCTGATTGGTGGATTGCTGCACAGATGGTTGTCCTTCTATAAGGTTCTCCTCTCTCCACAGAAGAATGCTGGAGCCCAAATAGAGTGACCATCGGGTTATTGATCACCTCTCTGACTAAGGCCCTTCTCCCCTGATCACTCAGCTTAAATGGCCGGACAGCTCTATAGGAAGAGGGTGGTTCCAAACATCTTCCACTTACGGATGATGGTGGCCGCTGTGCTTATTGGAACTTTCAGAGCACCTTCCCTAGCCTTTTGCTTGAGACAATCCTATCACTTTGGTCTACCGACAATGCCTTGGTTTGTACTTTGGCATGCACTGTCAACCCTGGGACCTTATATAGACAGGTGTATGCCTTTTTAAATCATGTCCCATCAACTGAATTTACCACAAGTAAACCCCAGTTAAGCTGCTGAAACATCTCAAGAATGATCAGTGGAAACCGAATGTACCTGAGATAAATTTAGAGCTTCACTGCAAAGGCTGTGAATACTTCTGTACATGTACTTTTTCAGGTTTTTATTTTAAATAAATTTGCAACAGTTTCAAAACATCTTTTTTCCACATTGTCATTATGGGGTATTGTGTGTAGAATTTTGAGGAAATAAATTAATTTAATCCATTTTGGAATAAGGCTGTAACAAAAAAAATAAATAAATGTGGAAAAAGTGAAGCGCTATGAATGCTTTACGGATTTACTCTAAACCTTATAAAAGAAGCTGATGCAAATGATTTCTTTAAAATAAGAAAAAATGAGACCTTTGGTGCTGCAGTCATCCACGAGAATGATCTCCTTCAGGAGCTGTGGAGGAGACCTGTTGAGCACACTGTGTACCGAACGCAGCAGAGTAGACCAAACCTCATCCACAAAGCAGAAGATCACACTGGTGCTGGGCAGGTCATCATGAACAAGGCTTTCTGAACATCTAAACGACACAAGTTGATATATTAGATGTTAAATACACTGTATATATTGCTCCGGAAACAATTTTTATACATTTATCTGTGAATGTAACTGATTTCACAAAACATATTTATTTTGCATGTATTCTTTTTAACACAAATGTTTGGTTAACAAACATCTTTAGGATAAAAAATATAATTAATTTAAATCAAATGAAAATTATTACAGCCCTACATCAAATTCACTCACTCGCTTTTCAAAATAATGTCATGTCTGAGCCTGCACGTCTTCACATCACAATTCACAATTTTAACTGAAATAACTCCACAAAACATACAGGTGTATTTTTTTTTTTCCAAAATGTATGTTTTATAATTTTTTATACATTTAAAGATTAAAATATTACAAAATTATTATTTTCTACAGAGGTTTCACGGTGGCGCAGTTGATAGCATGATCACCTCACAGCCAAAGATATGGTACAGGTGAATTAGGTAGGGTCAATTGTCCGTAGTATGTATGTGTGTAAATGAGTGTGTATGGGTTTCCCAGAGATGGGTTGCAGCTGGAAGGGCATCCACTGCGTAATACATATGCTGTGGCAACCCCAAATTAATAAAGGGATTAAGCCGAAAATAAAATGAATGAATGAATAAATTATTTTCTACATAAATATAAAAACCACAGACTCCATGCCTTCTTCATCTCAAGGAGCTTTTTTCAGTTTACTCATGACAACATGCTTCTGTATAATGTTCTTATTATTATTAGTAGTAAAATCATTATTTTTATTGATATTTATATTTACTTTAATAAAAGCAAGTTTAGATTTGCCCACCTGTCGGGTTTTGGACCATATGGGGCATAGGACGTGTGTTTGGATATAACTCCACTCTTTATTATTATTGTTCTTTTATTCGTTGGCTGGAAATTAGAACTGAATTTAGTTTTGAAACAAATCTTTGCGCTTAATAACAGTTTCCTTATCCACGAAATTAAAGGAGTAAAATAAAGGGTAAAAGTAAAGTAAAGAGGAGGCTCATTCTTTATCCTCGCTGCACATGGTATGTAGCCATGGCCATTAAAGGGAATGGGAGATGAGACTCTGATTGGTTTAATACACGTTATGCTCAAAACACATCTACAACTCATTAAGAGAATAAGCACAACCCTGTTAGACCATGCGCCGCGGCGCAAACCGTATTTTTCCATCACTAAAATAGCAAAAATGGATTCGGACACGACCTTAATGCTTTTGTGCCATGCGCTTTAGACTTTGCACCTAGATCGTTAAAATAGAGCCCATTGTGTTCAGGTCTTGACATTAACACCTGCCAACGCACCAAATGCGGGTAGATTTCAGCTGATTTCAGACACCCACTTTTTATCGTCCCATGCACCACAGTGATTTAAACACTCTCAAGTGTCACACTTTCAAGTCATGTAGTATGAACGGCACACTGATGTTTAAAATGATGTATTACGAACTACGCAAAACCCTAACCGCATTCCTAAGACAACTCTGGGGGCAGCTGTGGCCTAATGCTTAGTGAGTTGGACTTTATCCGGTCCCGGTAGGAATTGAAGTCGGGGAGTAAAAGAACTGCACTCTCTGTGGTGCTCCTGAGTGAATCTCTAATTGCTCCCTGGGCACTGGGAGCAATAGCTGCCCACTGCTCTGGGTGTATTCTCACTGTGTGTGTTTTTACGCTTCACTCAAGATGTGTCGGTTTATAGAAGAGGACCAATGTCTTTGGGTAAATACTTGACAAAAGCTCAACTTCACATATGGCCCTAACCCACCCCTACCCCTTAACCCAACCATCAGGATCAACAGGGTCCCAGTAAAGCAGAGGGCATTAAAAATGCATTCTAGTTTCCCCGGTTAAGCAGGAACATAGTTTTAAGTTGAAACTACCACGCCTGTGCCTCATTACAGGACTTGAATATTTTTTTACATCTCACACTAAAACGGTCATAAGACACTGTACAGTTGGTTATTGCATATAACATGACTAAGCATGCTGCCTCTTCTGTCAATATTTGCTCATTCTGATGTCTCTTTGTGTTTAACACAAAATAAGATATATTAAAGCAGGGGTCACCAACCCTGTTCCTGGAGAAAGGAGAAACCTTCCTGCAGATTTTAGTTGCAACCCTGACCAAACACACCTGTTTGTAATTATCAAGTGCTGCTTTAGGTACTATTAATTGGTTCAGGTGTGTTTGATCAAGGTTGGGACTGAATTCTGCAGGAAGGTAGCTCTCCAGGAATAGGGTTGGTGACCCCTGTATTAAAGAATGTGAGTGACCAAACAGTTGCTGGCTTTAGTAGGGAAAAATACTATTAATGTCAGTGGGGATAAGTGTTGGGTGTAATTAGTTACAAAGTAACTAGATACTGTGATTAAATTAATTTTCCTTTCATAAAAATATAAAGGTACAGTTGATGTTAAAATTATAAGCCCCCCTGTTTATTTTTCCACAAATTTGTTTAATGGAGAGAGGATTTCTTCAACACATTTATAAACATAATAGTTTTAATAACTCAATTCTAATAATTAATTTATTTTATCTTTGCCATGATGAAATTACATAATATTTTACTTGATATTTTTCAAGACACTTCTATACAGCTTAAAGTGACATTTAAAGGCTTAACTAGGTTAATTGGGTTAACTAGGCAGGTTTGGGTAATTAGGCAAGTTATTAAAGGGGCTAATAATTTTGTCCTTAAAATTGTTTTGTAAAATTGGTTGTAAAAAAATCAAAACTACTTTTATTCTAGCTGAAATAAAACAAATAAGACTTTCTCCAGAAGAAAAAAATATTATCAGACATACTGTGAAAATACATACATAGAAAGAAAGAAAAAAAATCAAAGGGTGCCTAATAATTTTGACTTTAGCTGTATTACAGTTAATGTACTTGCCTTAAATACTCTAAATAAGTTCAACAATTCAGTAAAGAGAAATTGTATATTTTGTTATACAAATATATTTTGATTATTAATTAAGATTAATTATATTTATCAACTAAAGTAGATTATATTTATGAAGACAATTTCACATGCTTAAATAATTATTAAAGGGCATCTAGGTTACCCTTTTTTTCAGATTAAATATGAGCCTTTTGTGTCTCCAGAAAGTGTCTGTAAAGTTTCAGCTCAAAACACCCATCAGATTTTTTATTATACCTTTTTTAAAATTCAATTGTATACATTTTTGCACCAGGAGGCTGTTTTGTTGTACTGCACCTTTAAGGCTAGTCCTCCCCGCCAACTCCAGCAACCCTCGTAATATGAGCAGCTCACTGACTTTAATGAAAATTTATGAGCGTCTGTTTGGCAAAATATTTGACTGTGTTGCTGCATCCCAAATAACTAAAAATAGTACAAAATGATATCATTAAAGCAATCTCTAAAGTGCTGAGCAAGAGCGCTTCTCTTCCTGTTAAACTAAACAGTCGCATCATTGATAACGCAAGTGTGCTCCAGCTCGGACGGTAAAATGCAGTGTGTGTGTGGGCCGTCGGGTGAGAGGGGAGGGGGGGCAAGTGTGCCCTAGCATGATTCAAGGTCTTTGCCTAATGTGAGTACACTTGATTTTTAGCCACAGTGATTATTATTAACCACAGGGAATTTAATAATACAATATGGATTTCCTCAGTTTTTCTTCATGGGTAATTACAGTACGAGATTGTCTTCTTGTGTTCTGACCTGATTTACTACTGATCACAGAGCTGTGCTTTCCTGATATATGATGTGCATGAAAATTGCAGCTTTGCAAGATCACAATTGCAATTTCCTTTACATGAATGAGTCCTTAAATAAATAAATAATGGCTGAAACTTACGTTTGGGGTCTGGTGTCTGGGATGGCTCTATCTATTGGTATCTGTTCACTCAGGAATACATTAAAAAATCCTTCACTCCAGCGTCTTCTACTTTCCAGTTCTTCATTCTTGGGAACTCTTGCAGGCTGTCCAAACTGTCCCACAGCATGGGGATCTCTAGGCCTGTCTGTCACATCTAGAGCTTTGACTTTGTGATGCCCACCTGATCTCTTTACACTTGTAGAGGGCAGCACCCGTAACGCCTCTTCTGCTGGGTCTTGAGCTGTCGGTTTACTTGGTTTTCGAGTAATATCTGATTTTGTTTTCTTGAAAGTACCGGCATGTTTTTTTCTACTGTCAGTATTGTTTTCCAGTTTCTCTACTGGTTTCAGCATATCGTTACTCAAGTTTTTTTGTAAACCCACATCTACGTTTATTTCATAATGCGACATAACTGAAGTGTTGTCAGGATACACTTTCTGTTGGACAACAGCCAGTGCTTTTGAAAATTGATGTGCATTAACATTCAGCTTTACCTCTGTCTGACGATTAAAAACAGTGTTTATTTTATCGATCCTTGCATTTAAATTGCTCACTTTGACATTAAAAATAGTTTTTGTCTCATTTGGTTTTTTAGGAGTGCTGGCACTCCTCTTATTTTGATTTATTTCCTTTTGTTCTACAAAAGATTTGCTTGCCAAGCCATGTAATGGATTTTGGCTTTCTGGCTTTGGCCCTTTTCTGTAAACCTCATCCACTTTTCTTTCAAGCCTGTTTTTAAGAGACTTTCTCTTGTGCAAGTTTGCTTTTTGCAGTGGATATTTAATCAGATCATCTGCATAGTCTTGTCTCCTTTGTTTTAGAATAATTTCTCTCACTTTAAAGTCTTGATTTACATCACTGAAGGATATTCGAAGTGCTACGATATCAAAGATTAGCCAAATTACGGATGCAATAAACACAAACGCGAGGACCCTCCCACTGCCTCTTAAATACTTCTTAAAATTCATCTTTCAAATTATGATTTTATTTCTACTGTACGTCTTACTGTTTCCTACTGAATGGGAGTCATATTTTTGAAATTGTAGTAACTTTCTGTATGCGTCCAACGAAATGCTGTATAGCCTACTAAACGAACGGATTGAGTTAAAAGTGTTAATATACAGAAGAAATGGACGAAAGCGAAATTAAAATGAAACCCATCTGTCATACGGTCATTCAAGGTAATGCGACAACAGCAATGTGGATTGCTTGCAGCTTACCTGGCTATGTACATTCCATTGCGACTGCAACAAACAAACTATTTTAAAATGTGTTATTAAATAATATCAGTACCAAACAATACATGCGTGAGCGCAGCCATTGAGAGCAGTCCATCTGTAAACATCCCGAATTCATGAACGAAGGATATTTCTAAAGTTTGACTAACTCTTCAGTCCTGACAAACTTCCGCGATTTTACACTCAGAAGTTACGTCGCGAGTTGTGAACCTTCCTCGTGAGATAGTCGTCGCAAACTTTTTGCATCACAAAGCGCTACTTTGGTCTCCTGGAATGACTGTTTATACAGTCGTTTCGAGGTTCCGAATGGATCACTTGGACTATTCTTTTGTAAACGCCCGCGCTCTCACTTGTGCTCATGCCTACCACTGTGTTTACATCCTCCTGTAAGCTTGTAGTTCCTGCTGGCGTCCTACACTTCAGACCTTCCCTTTTTCACACGTAAGCACTTTTGTGACGACGTGTCAATTTGGGACGATATTTTGGCAGTGCTGAGAACTGTATTCTTAGACAGGTGTGGTTCAAAAGACTCAAATGGGAAACAAAACAGCATTCAGGGGAATAGGGCTACCATATGCCAGTGTTTATGTGAATACATTGAACTACAATTAGCTAATACTGGACATATTCTACCAGAAATGTACTTCTGTCCCTGGAATAAAAGCATAAATACACTGAATAAAACGTATTTCATCCCAAAATATTCTGGTTGATTTCTGTGAGTTGTTCTGTAAAGGAGTGTGTCATTCGTTTGGTTCTCAGATGTTTTTCTCTTTTTACAAATCCATGTCATTGTCCTTGTCCTCAGCCTAATAGAACCTACTTTAATAGTTGTGTTATAACCTTGTGTTAAAAACATGAAATTACAAATGTATTTTTCCACAAATAAATACTATTTTACAATTGTGCCCATGTTTCTGTCAGTCACATTTGCATTACATTTAACATAAAATGTGTGCAATAGGCTACACGTTTTTAGGCTATAACTCGGAAGTGACATCATTTGATGGAGGAGAAGCTGACAGTGATCAAAGGTGCGTTCTATTATTGAATTGTATTATTTTATGCTATTTTTGTATGTTTTTTTTTTTTTTTTTTTTTTTTGAGGACCACAAGGTTAACTCTGGTCCTGTCACATTATTTTTTCCAAGTGAAAATGTACTTTTCTGGTAGAATGTCCCACACATTGTAGAACTAAAAAAATATTTTTTTATAGTTTTATATTTATATTTTACATTTATATTTAAATATTCTAGTTTAAGTATTATTGGATTATCACCTATTAATAAGATGTTTATTAGCAAGCCTATGTTTGATCTTATTCTATATCCCTAACCATTTAACAACCTTTCTAAACTACCTTCCTAACTAATATGCAGCAAATTAGTATTTTGTTGAGCCAAATGTCTTAGTTAGTAAATTGTTTACAGTGTAAATGACTGAATAAAGTGTGACCGTTAGGCGAAATGTTAATATATAAAGACCAAAATGTCCTAGAATAATATAATAATGATTTTTTTTTAAGTATCAAGTAACAATAGGCTATTATTTTTCAACAGATTTCACTTGACAACTTATAATGAAGTTATAACAGAAAAAATAAAGGTATGCGAGCTGTCACTGGGGTGGTACCTTTTCAAATGGTGCACATTTGTACTTAAATGGTCCATATTGGTAACTTAAAAGTATACATTAATACCTAAAAATTTTAAGGGGAACACTTTTGTACTTTTTAGGTACTAATATGTACCCCTGAGGTAATAATATGGACGTTTAAGGTACACATTTGTACCTATTGAAAAGGTACGATTCCAGTGACAGCTCGCGAACCTTTATTTCTAAGAGTGTAGACAGCAAATACAGCAATTAGTCTTGTAAAATTACCAATATTTACCAAATGGTAATTACAATAATTGTTTTCACAATTTTATTTTTAATACGTAGGATTTAATGATATTAACACTGTTATATCAGTGTATGATTGTAGTCTGTATATCGTAAAAAAAAGGCTGGAATTAAGATGAACCTGTTTTGTTGCAACAGACAATACCTGAAAAACTTGTCTGCGTTTGTTCCTGTATATCAAACTAAAAGTTTTAAAAGATACATGGCTGTATTTCAAAGCACACTTCGCCCTAAAATGAGTTACATTCTGTAATGTAGACTGCCCATTGAAATCGTTTCAGGCCTAAAATAACAGTGCCTGTCATGTCTTGAGTTAAGTGGAACAATCCCGCAGTGTGTATTTATTCCATGCTAATTAGGGACCTAGAATTAAAATTGGAAAAGTTGATCTTTCATTTGCATAGAGGTCATGTTTAATGCACCTATGCTGAAATCGACAAGCAGCATGACTATAGTTAAACCTGACCCAGTGACATTTCCTGCGTCAAATTATGCAAAACGCGTGAATTAAATTAATTAGAGAATTCATTATGAAAGATGTCTCGGAGAAATTAGCGTAATATTTAGTTATGTGAGGTCATTTTCTTTCATTGTTGCAGCTAATTTGTTTCATAATATTTCCTGCTGTACCGTCTTCCCACGTTAACCATGATGTATGCAGTTTGTTAGGGCTTTAATTTATTATGATTACATTTCGTACCGAATGTTCAGCTGGTTTGGACAGATGCCTCCCAATGAGAAAACCTTTCAAACAATTAATTTGAAATCAATTGCTTCCTCTCTTTTTTTTCTTCTTTAAGTATGATGCTGTGGGGGAAATCTCTGCTCTGCTGTGGGGAAATTTCCTGCTGCAGTGATTGGCTGTTAATAGCTTTAATGAGTGATCATCTCACCCTCTGCTACCTCAGCAGCCAAATAAATGAATTAGACTGCTGTAATGGTTGTTGTTAGCTGTCTACCCATCCTCAAACTGCAGCATACTCCTTAATTAGTCCTGGATTGCAATGTCTGGAGCTGCGATGGCGCATCTATTATCCATTGCTAGCCTTTAAACAGGATCTCGCCCCAAATATGTAAATCACTCCTTTGCTGGCTGAAACAAACCCATCCCATCAGTTTCTGCCTGTCAGCATGAGTGACAGAGGGGAAAGGTAAAAAAAAAGTATTAACAAGAAGTGTACTTATTTGTGTATGATAATGTTCAATGGTATAAATGAACTTGGTACATAAAAACGTGGTAACCTTTTTATTAAAATTTAAATTGTGTACTCTTTAAGTCAGAAATATAACTTAATATATATAAATATATATAAATATATATAAATATATATATATATATAAATATATATATATATATATATATATATATATATATATATATATATATATATATATATATATCTCTCAGAGAGA